AGTAGTCACAATGAAATTTACTTTTAAACCAAGTATTACTCCTCTTCAGCTCCTTCCCACTTATCAGCATTTTTAACCTGCTCAGATACTCAGAATTCAGAGCAATCTGTTTTAAAAACAAGATTAATTCCTTTATTTCACATTAGAAAAAGACGAGATGTCAAGCACAATCAAAATAGTCTTCATTTTCCAGGAACAATAAAGCCAGCCTATCTAGGTTTGCATTGTTTGGCTTGCGCAAGATCCAGAGGGGCTGTCTTCCACCTTTGGCATGGAAATTCCAATGCATCCTAAATTTTATTAACACATGAGAAAGCAAGACATTGTTTGTGGCTAAATTCTGCTAAGATCTCTGCTGCTAGGCAACCTGCCTTAAGCACAGTGTGAATAAGGTCAGTCAAGTTTTTAGGTCAGCAGGATGCATTTTCTGCGAGCAAAATTTGGTGGCAGACTTGCTGTCCCTCTGGAATCCAAGTTATGCCTTACTCCGCATTCCCTCCCTGTCTTGTGTTTGGTCAGCTCTTTATCAGCTTTGAAATAATACAAGGATGAGGCACCTCCTCATGCTCTAACACAGGCACCATGGGGGAGGCCTCTTATTGCAATGTACTGCAAACCTGCTGAACATTCTGCCATGCTGAAAATACAACTCACAGACCCTGCACAGAGGCTGGGACAGAGACTTAGTAAAATATGCTAAGTGCAATTAGAATGGCTGCAACTACTATGAGATTACACCTCTCACACCAGGTCACGTCTGAGGACAGGCTGGAGCCACTCCAAGCCAGTGAAAAGCCTCTCTGCTTTTTCTCCAGCTCCCCAGAACCTCAGAGTCTGCAGGAATCCGTAACTCGGTGCAAGGAATACACGCAGTGCCACTGCCACGGCAGAGACACGATGGCAACAGAGAAATTAGGGCTTTAGTGCTAGAGGCTTAAGGGCCAAGAGCCAAATGACTTCATGTTATGGGCCCAGATTCAGCACTGCTAACTTCAGGTCCTCTGCTGAGGCATCCCATCCCTAGGCTTCCTCTGCACCTGCCCCTCAGGTACAGCTCAGACGGTGTCTGCAGGTAAGTCAGATGTTCTAGCTCACATGCTTCCGCTGAGTGTCTCTGATGACATGGGGTGAACAAGGAGCAGGGATCCCTTCCCTGATAACTGGTCAGCTGCAGGGGTTGCACTATAGCTCACTAAAGCCTCGCTCAGTGATGACATGATGTTCCCTGACTCCAGCTAACAGCAGCAGTAAGTCTGAATTGCTGGAATAGTTAATGAGGACCATGGCCTGCACCATATTAGAAAAAAACCTGTCCTAGGGTGACGTTATGGTGTTTGCATCTCCAGTCATGTATTCTGTTTATGTTTGATATTATGTTCTGTGCTTTCAGAACTGACTCTGAAAGTGAAGGTTTGTTTTGCCTTGTTATCAGCCGGTTCACCTCCCCCCATGGTCTGCTGCCTAGAAAAGGCTGGTGCTGGCTGGCTTGCTTTGCTTGCTTGCTTGGCTTGCTTCTGCTTTTGCCTTTGCTTCCTAGTTAGTTTAGTTAAGCAGTCAAATTCTTTCCCTGGACTGTTTCTTTTCCTTTCCTTCTTCTGAATACCATCCAACCTGCTCTGGACTGGGATCTGGGAAACACTGAGGAGCAGAGATCCTGCGCTCTGTGATCTGCAGCAGCCATCCCCAGTGCCCAGAGCAATCCCCAGTGCCCAGACCCAGGCGACCACTCCCAGGAAAGACTTTCTGGATTTGTTCATCTCTTCAGAGTGGTGAAAGAGTTTTGTTGTCATCTGGTGTT